CTATGTGCACGGAATCGGCAGTGAGACACGAAACTCATTGTTTCATCTGCACAATGCGCGCGATTTAATACTGGTAACAACGTGTCGTCATGGAAAAAGTTGGCGAGAACTTCAGGATGCCCGATGCGACGAGGACAATCGTGAATATGATCGGTAAGTGCGAATAATTGTTAATTGAATCATTTCCTAATTGTATAAAATCATTGCTTTTTTGGGGAAACTATTTTTGCCGTCTCTCTCTGTCGCGCGCGATTTTTCGTATTCAAAAATGATGAATAAACTGAGGGAGAGAGAGAGAGAAAGAGAATGTTATTCACAAAATGGTTTTAATTTCATTAAGTTGATTGGAACAAAATCACCTTGAAAGGATGTAAAGCCTCAATTTAGATTGAAACAATTGTTACCATAATATGTATAGAATCAAAGTGATGAAGCACACTGTGGAAATGAAATAAACACATCTCTACGTAAGAGAGATATAGAATCCATTGATTTTCCGTCGCTTTGCCATTTTCAATACAAAAGTCTATTTATTTAGCTCGCTTTGTGTATGTGTGTGTGTATATGGGCTCGTTTCGACAAAACGACGGCATCCATCTCATGCTGCTTTTGACTGTTGATACACACAAACATCATGTGATTGATGCGAATGGCTGGAGAGAGCTTTAAGGTGATTGTTTCATCGATTTCTAAAGCTATCGATTTAAATAAAATAAAATTGCCACACATCTGCCACGATGTGTATCGTTTCTAATTCGATCTGTATTTATTTACCAAACTCTCTCTCTCTCTCTCTCTCTCTCTCTCTCGTTCGCAATTTCTTTTGTTCAAAACAATAGCTTTTGATCTCAATGGAAGGAAACAGGCAAACACAGCGTCAAAGAATGGAAAGCAATTGAAAGAGAAAGCAAAAAAAAAGTGATTTGATAAAAGAAAACAACGGAAAAAATAGTTCAATCGAATCAATTACAAAACAAAAACCCGAACACATGTAACACCAACAAAACGAAATTTAATTTACATGCGATACGAAATTGAAACGAAAAACTAGAAATGAAAAAAAACCCGAACCATCGAGTTCACGAATTCTCAGTAACTTTGATCTGCAGGAGAGAAAAAACCACGGCAAAAACAAAAACAACATTCATTATAATTTTTTTTTCAGTCTTCAGTCATGAATGAAATTACATAATATTCAATAAAGATGGGTGTAGTTTTAACCAAGTTCCAACATCAAACAGAATTTTGTGTGTTTCGGTGCATTCTCACTGTTCGCTAAGAAAAAAAAAATAAATGCGGCAATTTGCAATTCTAAACGTGTACGGGCGTTTGCGCGCCCGCACGACCGCTCTCTCTCTCTCTCTCTCTCTCTCTCTTCCGAACTTTTCGAATTATTGGCGCATGATTTCGCATCGGTGTGTTTCGCTTGTGCGAAAGCATGAGCTCCATATTTTCACCTTGTCAACTTCATTGAAAGTTCTTGTGCGTTTTGTGTTATGTCACCCAGTTTTATGCCAAAAACGTTTCACCGATTGAATACTGAATACAAAATATGGAAAACATAAACAATGGACTGCTGATTGCATTTCATTTATTGATGACTTTCCGTGCGATATTTTACAGTGCGCTTTATCATTTTTGGCCGTTTTTTGTGGATAATATTCAATGAAGCCAATAGACGGATTTGAAGAGGCTTAATCGCCATTGCATTGCATTGCAAATGCATAAATCAAAAATCATCATTACCACAATTCCTTCAGTCCATCTAATCGTTTTATTTACGTGTTTTTCTACTTTTTTCCCACACGCTCTCTTTCTCTCACTCTACCTCTTATTCGATGATGCATATTTGACAGAAATCTACGTGATAAATTTCATTTGCACTCATGTGAATTTATTTGGCAAGTGAGCGTAAAAAAAAAGATTGTCTGAATGGCATTCATATTCATATAGAAATTGCCAGGTGAAAAATGCACGAACGTGTTGTGTCTCTTCTGTCCCATTCATTTGATCCAGTTTGCGAGCGATGCACATACACACACGTGTTTGCCATAAATTCGCTTCCATTTCATGGGATCATCTTTATGTGGTTGAATGGCGGGTGGATGCGAGCAAAACGAACGAAAAAAAGAATTAAAAATCGAAAAACAGAAAATCTATTGGCCATTCAAGTAAAATCGTGCGGTTTTTCAGCGAACAAGCGCATAAGTTTAATAAATAAACATGATACACGATGTTTTCTAGCGTAACGAGAAATTCTCTAAATAATTCATCACGAATATTTGACAATTGCGTGCTTGCACATATATCGGTCGCGAGCGAGCACGCTCATCTCACTGCCACACTCATATAGCTCAATCAAAATGGTATCACTAGTTATTTTTTTTCTTTCTGGCTTGGATAAAATGATACCATTTAAAATCAGACGAGAAAAATAATGTTGCGAGAGAGGGAGACAAAAAGAGAGAGAAAGAAAGAGAGAGAGAGAGAACGAGTGAATGTGAAATATGAAAAAGGGCCTACAAGACAATTTCAATTGCATGAGTCAGCAGAAAAACGGGGCTTCGATATTTGTCGTGTGTATGTAAAGTCGGCTATTTTGTTCTCCCTTTTTATCATTTTGATCAATGCTCCGGCATCAAATCGTTGTGTAAAAATCCCAATGTGCGCTCGTGCCACACTAGCATACCAATGAATGCAAACGGCGAACTTTGTGGCCACTCTCTCTCTCTCTCTCTCAATCTCTCTCTTTTTTTTCACCATTTTTCGTCGCTCTCGCTCACTCGTTCGCGCCCATTTCTCTCTGTCTATCGCTATGACACAAACACAAAAGCGACCATCCAAAATTTTATTTACTTGCATCAAGTCGCCGAAATACGATGTGATGCCCGTATACCATTCGACTCCATTCAATCGTTCATCGACAAAATATGCTCGTCTATCTCTCTATGTTTCATTTTTTTCCCATCTTCATTCACCCTGTATTCGTTTGATGTTACAACTCAAACCTTTTTTTTTCTCACGTTCATATCGGGCAATGGGTTGCATTTTTGTTTCTCGTTGGACAATTTCAATTTCTAACTATACTTCTGAAAATGTCACTCAAATATGTTGGTGCGAAAAATATACATACATATATATATATATTTTTTGTTTTTGGCTGGATTCTTTCTCTCCCTATATAAAATACGATCCACTATCTCCGAATCTAATTAATCAATCTATCCAGTGACATGTTTCAAAGTGGGTTTATTAGAGCTGCCCCATAAAAATAGCACAAAAATGACCTGGATCCAACAAAACACGGGGCGAACAACAATGGAAACAGGAGAACGAAAAAAAAAATGAGAATCATTTAATTTTCGACATGCAGACAAATCATTTATCAAAATTCATTCCAATCTGGAACGATCCAGATGAAAAGGGGAAAAAATTGGTTGCGAAAACAATTGAAGAAAAAAGAATGGACGAGAAAAAGTGCACTATTTTAATGAGCTAATTCGTCAGTTTGCACCATGAAATTTCCGGTTAATTCAACTCGCCATCAATTTATAATACAATTACCGCGAAAAAAGGGAGAGAACGAGTGAGTGAGAGAGTCGAAATCGAATAAATAAATGTGAGTCGATTGTTTTTTTTTTCTACCCGTTAAAGGTATCGTTTTTTGGTTTTCGTTTGGAAAAAAAATTTCCTTTGTTTCGTTTTGGATATCCTCACACACAAAAATATGGACAAACGGCTTGAGCTACAGTAGAAACTGAACTACCTGATCGTCGATTTAAAATGTTGAGCACGTTTTACAAGCAAAAATAATTGGTGTATTATGTGTACATAGGATGTGTGCATGCAAATGCAATGTGCATTTGTGCATTGATTGAATGCGGTCGGTTTTTGCTGTTTTGACATCATTCCAAATAAAGCTTTCGTATGATCGTTGTTCGAGAAAGGCACGCCGTTGCATATTGAATCGGCTAAACAAAATAAGGGCTACGCTTTTTGAATGATGATGTTGGTGACGGCGTATTTGGATGCGATGCAAACGAAAGACTGTATCACTAGACTAAATGGTTGGCACCACGAGGCAAAAAAAAACACGGTGAATGGAAAATAGCTGTCACGCTCACTCACAGAGTTTATCAGAGGAAATGGTTTTCCATGAAAAACACATACACACACACACACACACACTTACATTTCCCCCTTTTTCCCTTTGGCTAAACACAGATTAAATCCTTTGTATTGCGCCCATTTAATTGGGCTATTGAAGTATCCACAAATTGGCTTTTTGAACGGTGCGCGGACATTTCTTGCTTTTATTGTTGTTTCTTGTTAACTACAGATTGCCATCGTATCAATTTAGATGTGATAATTTGAATATTCAACCGCTTTGGAGGCAGCATATAAATGCCTCAGTAGTTTTTATTTATTATTTCCTATTAGTTATATTAATTAGCACTGCGCTGAGAGAAAGAATTGTATATACGAGACGATTAGACAATAGGAACCAAAGAAATGTGAGAAACAGAAGCTTAGTCAGAATTGAAACGTATGGCACGGACTATGCTCGTAGCCAACCGTTTATTCTAGCGTGTATATATTTTAACAAAGTAAGACAATCGTTTTTAGATTCGGCATCAAGACGAATATTCGTTAGAAATGTGGTATATTTCGACAACAGTGTATTTGAAGAATTGTATGTTTAATGGTAAGCACTGAACACAGTCGGTTACCGCAGAGTGCCACTTCGAAGTCATTAGGGCTGGTGGCTAGGTGATCCGATTCGGGGTGTTTTCATTGCTTGTGAAAAATTATTAAATGTAAATGAATTGTATGAAATTATTCAGTCTGTGATTAGACGGTGAAATAAATAATAATAATAAATAATAATTTTTTCGGAAAATTGGGGATGATTTACTGTGAAATCTTGATTAACTAAAACGGCCAATTGATTGTAAAATCTCAAATTCAAGTGATACCTAATCTATTGATTTGCTCATTTTTGTCTTACGGTACGCAGTGTTTGGTTGAGATAATATCTTAACATGAGATAACCAGATAAGATAGATAAGATATTATCTTTGCGGATTTATCTTATATAGATTATAATGAAAAATTCATTTTGCGGATTTATCTTATCTTTATCTTTTCTTCAT